GCCATTCTCTGACTGTGCCCATAACAAAGAGCGCTCTGAAGCCCACACTCTGCAGCCTCATTCACCCTTCTGACCCTGATGCCCTCTCTCTTCTGGGTCTTTCTGTAATTTAACTTTGGCTTAGAGGTGCTTCACAAATAATCTTTTGGCTGAGCATAGCCTGGTAGATACTCATGCTGCTATTTTAGTTGGGTAGTATGTCATGAAGTGAGTGTGCTCGAAAAGGTTTTGTTTAATATTCATCTTTCAAGTGTACAGTTAGTGATTACATTCTGCAGTTCTTTTGTCACTCTGCCCCAGAAACAGTAATGGCCTCGTGCTGCATCATTATTGTGGTACCAGCGGGGGGGGGCTTTAAGTCTGATACCCAGGAGTTGTTGTGTGAACCAACAACCAACAGGAGGCATCTATGACCCAGGTGCCAAGAATCGTACAGTAGGAAGTAGGACTGTAATTTTTTTTATTTTTATAAAGAAATAAATACACTGATCATTTTAGAGCAGAAGGGGGGGTTATTGGTTGCCATCAGACGGGGGCAACCAATAACCAACCAATATAGAATAATTATCTTACCTCGATGCGACAGGCTATCCAAATGCCAGATGAACGTCTTCACCCAAAAAGTTTTTTTTTTTCCCCGGATAAACAATGTTATAGAATGTTTGGCGAACGATGATAGCGCGATGACAACCACCAGATGCCGTTGTGTGGACGCATTACACGATTCGGAGGCATATCACATATTTAAAGATTATAAAAACTGATTATTTTCTGATTCATGGCACATTTTTTTTTTTTTTTTTTTTTTTTTTTATGCGTTCTGCGGAGAAGGGAGACTGGCATTGGTCACAGTTTGGAATGAAAGGGAGAAAACAGGATAGAGTAACACGGTGGATATTGCTCATATCACTCGGCCTACTATTTTTTTTTTTTTTTTTTTGACGACATAGTTAAGGCGGCAGGTGTGTGTTGCTAAGGCGGCCGCCTTAGCTGCAAAGTGCTGCGGGAAACCCTGGTTGATGTAGACCCCTTCTATTCCAGATAACTGACAACTACGAGCAGTATCCCAAATACTACAACATATTGTGGTTAGAGTTCCTCCTTTAGTGAAACCAACTCTTCTCGTTTCAGTGTTAAGGAGGTTCTTCTTTATGCAGTTTCTGGTGTTAAATTGCTAAAGGGGTTTTTGCCTCAGTAGCGGTTGTAAAACTGACCAAAGTGATGAATTGTGTGAGTGAGTGAATTAATTAATTAATTAATTAATTAATTAATTAATTAATTAATATTTTTTCCTTCACGAAAAAGTTGTATTTGTGTAAAACTGTCTTTTTGCAATTAAGTTTCAAGACTGGTGAGGAGCATCAATTGTGGCTGATTCCCAAAAGACTTAATCAAAACACTGTCAGTCAAAAAGAAGAACTGATAAAGTCTTTTCTGTGATGTTTTTCTGACTGGTACGGTATGTGACAGGGGAGATAACCATCCGCAACAACAGGAGTTCAACAACTTAAAGACTTCCTCGTCACAGCACCCACAAGGTTTTTTGTGGGTGATGGACCGCTGCCAGAATCAGGGTGGTTTGTTTTTGTTGCCAAGCTACACACCCACAAGAGGAAGTTGAACTGAGGTCATAACATGACATCAACGGCTCTGTGAATCATACGGTTAAAAAAAAGGAACAGTTTGTGCAGTAAAACACATGCTGATTTTGATATTTTTGGAAAGATTTTTATGAGAAAGCTGCACATTGAATCTCTCTTACTTCTACTCTGCAGACTGTAGGTCTCGATTACTGCCAGCTGTTAGCCTAAAGCAGAGGGAGGGAAGACACTATTATATTTGCATTACATAATGATAGCAGTGCTACACTATCATGCAGAAATAAAATACAGCATGTATCCCCCTCCCCCAGTTGGGAATAGTTCTGGGTTGTGACATTACATACTGTACTTCAGGACTTGTGCCTAATATGGGCAGCGTGGGGTATTTGGAGAAGAGGGACAGCATTACAAAGCAGAAGATTGATGGGGATACAGAACATGAATATAAACAGCTGTTTGAAGCTGTTTAATTCAACATCTGTCCTCTTCAGCAAGAGCGCTCTGCTTACTAGGACAACTCACACACACACACACACACACACACACACACACACACACACACACACACACACACACACACACACACACACACACACACACACACACACACACACACAGCAGCAATTTCATAACATGGAGCGTGCACTTTGATGCCAATCCCTTCTCCCCCCTCATTAACCCTCTTTTTTGTCTTCTCGTGCCGTCTCTTACTGTCTGTCTGTAAAATGCATTCGTGCACAGCTGCCACACTGCCAGAAATGCCATGTTGACGGCAAAGCAACACTATCTTTGCGACTCTTTTGCTTCCCAATACGGCAGAGGGATTTCATGCACAGTCCTGCAGGGGACTGATGCAGTGCTCAGCACGTGCACTAAAAGTGTCAGAACAAACACGAGCTGGTAAATGTAGACAAGAGTTCACTTATCCACCCCTCCCTCCATGTTGGAATGTCGTCTGCAGCCCTCGGTGAGCAAACAGCAGTGTAAACAGGTGGAATAATATCACACAAGCAGGGCTTTGTGATGCATCGTGCAGAGTATGTTGTGCATGAGCCTATGTATGAAACGCAACATGCTCTGCACATGTGTCCTTATCAGTCAGGCCGTTCTATGGAAGCATTTGTGAGGGGGCAGAGGGATGAACTTGTTGCAACAGTTTGTTATTTTAAGCAAAACATTCACATTTAGTGCCTCCAGCATGTCAAATATAAGGCGATTTTGTAAATTGAATATATTTGAGATTTGGACTGCAGGCAAGAATCTGGCAAGGAAAAAAATACATATCAAGATACAGGGGGTTAAAGTTCAGTATATTGTGATACTATATCAAGGCGATAAATCTATTCGTAGGATTTCTGTCATAGTATGAAGAACATGAATTTAGAGTAAAAAAAATAAAAATCTTCATGTATTTCTCACAGTCCCTGTAACATCCAACATCATAGTCCTCAGTTTAGGCTTACAACATTGCTATCGTGCCTCTCAAATGTATCGTTATTTACTTTCACCCCTACCAGTCAGACAAAACGAGCCGTCTTAACTGGAAAAGTAATCATTCCTTGCAGTTCTACAGTTTGCTGCCACACCCTGGCACAAAGGGGTTTAATGTTGCTCAGGCCTTTCCACTGAATAGAGTGAGGTGAATGTTTAGTCTAACATTGTTGGATATATGTTTGTTCTGTGCGGCACTGATAGTAAGTATACGACCGGGAGCTCATTTCTTCAATGAGGCGAGTGTGTGCTGTGTTCACATTTGGATATTCATCAGGGAACACGCCTAGTCTGACTCATGGCACTGATAAATAAAACTCAGTGGTCCACAGCAGAAACACTATTTCAAAATGTGTAACCCAACCCCTCTGTCACACCGTCAGAGAGCCAAAGGAACTGTCGTATAAAAAGTACAAATATTGACACAGACAATTTTCCTTTTGAGTTGAATAATAAGGCAGCCAATCAGCTCTAATGACAACTTTTGATTAATGTGTGTCGTGGCTGTAAGGTCAGATGTTTTTTTTTTTTTTTACCTATTTGCCAGGAGCAGAATTTATTAGAGCACTTATTGTGTTTCCACATTGTTTAGTATGTGTTTAGTAGCTACTAATAGGGGTTGACAATATAACAAAATGTACTTTGAGATGGTATAAATTAAAGATATTTCCATACTGTTTACACAGTGATTGCTCTTCCTTCTCTGCATGTATAAGGCCAGTTTGGGCATTGTGGACAGTCTTTGAGCAGGACCTTTTTAACTAGATGTTAAAGAGTTCTGCAATAATTTGAAGTACTTCAATTTGCAACATTATGCAAAAAGTTATAATCCAATATGGTTATTTTGTCTATAGTTTATGAATTGATTCTCCAGACATACTGTATATCGGTATTGTGTCAATCTCTCTGTCCTACCTAGAGATTAATTGTATTGTCTATCTAATGTCAAATGACAGGTTACCTAAATTAAATCACAATTACAAACTTTGTCAAACCAACAGACTCCAAATCTTTGCAGTTCAGAATTGGAGGAAGTCACCTAAACCCTCAGAATTGAAAGAATTGGTCAATTCTCTCATATTGATCACTGCTGATCAAGATGACCGATGAAACCCATCTTAAGGGACCAAACTGTGATAATTCCTTTTTTTGTAAGCCATTTGATTTCCATCAGTGGTGTCATTGATGGAATGTCTCATTTGATATATTAACTTTTTATTTTATTTTATTGATTTTAATAGAGTTGGCACCTGGCAAATAAGAAATGCAGGAAAGAGAGAAAATCCTGCCCTCTACTGTTAATGACTAATTTGTTTTTCTTTTTTGATTTAAACACTGTAGTTTGAAAAATGATTTCAGCCCGACAGCCAGTTATTAATAGCTGTCAGGGTGGATGTGTACAAGTTTTGTGGTTGAACAAGGTGTCCTAGCAGAAGGTCACATTCTCATTACTGTGAAGCATCTTTGACAAGCCACTCAGCGAGCAGCACAGGGATCGCTGTCGACTGTCTGACCTGTCTCATGAAATCTTTGTTTGGTATTATTGTTTTCATGCAATAAAAAAGGACACACACACTTCGGATCAGAAACAAATCGGTTGCTGATGTTGAAACTTTACTGGGACATGTGGGTGATTTGTGCCTGAGGAGTTTATGCAAAGTAACACATTTTCTGCCTTTGCTGACTTGAGATAATTTGCATTCCTTGTCATGCTATTTTAGGGGTTAGCTGTCAACACTTGTGTCAGTTGTACAGTTGATCTGCCTTCCAGCTCTTGTGCATTATGGGCATGATTTATAAGTGGCGTTTTAAATCATATTATTTATCATTTGGCTGCTGCTGATGACCAAGTTTTTAGCAAGTAAACTCATCTTTCTCTTTTGTGCATGCATGTTTTCTCTCTGGCAGCTTTTCGACCGAGTGCGGGAGGACAACCCCGACTTCCACCAGAAGATCATCCCCATCAGCAGCGAGCTGATGCAGCCCGGCCTCGCCATCAGCCCGGAGGATGTGGAGAAGCTCACCGGCTGCATTGACGTCGTCTTCCACTGCGCTGCCACCATCCGCTTCGACGAGCCACTCAAGTGAGGATCACGTGCACGGGATATATTGCTGTTTGACACTTCGCTGAACCACAATACACAACATCTTGTGTTATTGTTGGGTAAAGCGGGAACTTCCTGTGGTGGGACGTCATTACAGAGGTTATGCAGCTCACTGAACTGGTTGCACTGTTACACTGATTTTAAAGCAAAAAGAGGAAGTGGGGCTGGTTATTACAATGGGTTGAGGATGTGGAGAAATCAACCTTGTGTACCACTGTACAAAGTTACAATCTATCAGTAATAGATGGTTCCTTCTTTATTCAGGGAGCAATGCTGAATACAGATAGCTTGTGTGATGGTATCCAGCTGACATGTAGGAGTCGTCACAATTTAAGTTGCATCAGCTAGTGAGAGTATTTTTAGATCTAAGCATTAGTGGAAATTGATTGCAATGTGTTCGTTACTAAAGTTTCTATATGGCCCCAACCCACTGATGACTAACAGTGTGGACAGTGTCATCTGCTGCAGCCTCTGGCTACTGCGCTGTTATTGGATCCTGGTGTGGGGACAGTGCATTTTATATATATAATGGTGACCTAGTTATTTTCTTTTCTTTGTGGATAATGTGCTCTGCTCCAGCTGAACAGTCCTGTATGTTTTTTTTGGTCATATAACCTGCATCACTCCATCCTGCACACATTGAACTCAGTGCATTGTACGCTGTATCTCCTGAGGGGCATCTGCAGCTGCCTTCAGGGTTTATTTTATGTACTGAAAGCTGGATTTTAATTGTCATGAGTCTGAATTGGGAGAAGGGGCACTATTACTATTATATTTTTTTTGGGGGGGGGTAGCATAAAAGTAATTTAACTAGTAGTGTAACTAATTACTGTTGGCAGGGAGTGATAAGTAAACTAAGAATATTACTTTTGAATAGAGTAAAAGACATTATTAAGGACAGCTTTACCTTGCCGACAGCTCCTTCCATCCTCAGCCCATTCAGTATCCCCCTGCTAGAGATCTTCTGTATACTCTGGCTCATAAATTATACTCTTGCCTCCACGGTGAATGGTATTTTGTCGACGCTGTCATTATTTTAAATTCTTCCATAAACCACTGTAACTCCAGTCCAAACTACTGATCTTTGGCGTAATACGACATTCACGGTTGGGCTCTGGTGTAGGAATACGGTTATAAGTTAAGACAACTACCGCAGTATTGTTAAAATCCTGGTTAGGGCCATACATTTTGGCCTGTATAGAGGTAATAAAAGTTTTTATTATATATCATTTTTATTTATTTGTATGAGTGCTTTTTAAGAAATGCTTTACGTGACCTGAAGTTTAAAAAAAGATCCCCTATCACTAAAAACACACTAAAGCCAAAAGGTAGTGCTGGAAAATGAAAAGTGGGTCTAAAAAAAAAAAAAGGGGGGGGGGGTATTTTCATCAGGATTACAAATAGAGAGGAAGAGCACTACGTCACACTGTTTTCATCAAAGCCACAATTTAGGAATGTAACAAAAGACAACACCAGGAAGCTGTTTTGATCATTTGCATCTGATACTGAAGACCTAGTACGGACAAGGAGTTGGACCACAGAGAGCATGTATATTTTGCCTTTTCCCCACATACTGGAGCACCAATACAGCATGTTCAGTTGAGGAGTTAGATTTTTCAGGGTCTAGAGTCTCTGTCATGCATTAGCGGAGGTAGATTACTCATGTTTTGAGGTGGTGTTGGAGCGCTCCTCGGGTTTACAGACTGTGTGTGTGTGTGTGTAGTGGGGGCGCGGGGGGCGGAGACAACTATTAGGTTTGAGTGACGGCTCAGTTAGGATAAAGCTGCTGCGCTGCACTCCGCACAGCTTTATATTGATCTGTTACTGCTTTCACATCTTTCTCTCTGTCCTGCTGTGGCTTTATGACTGGCTCTCCCCTCGCCCTCCCTGTCGCCTCACCTTCCATCTTTTTCTCTGAGTGGCCTTCACCTTGTCTTTTTTTTTTTCTTTCACTCCCATGTTCCCTCTTTCTCTCTTCTCCCTCCCATCTCTGTCAACTCTCTCAGTCATTACTCTTTTGTAGCGCCCAGCAGCCTTGTAAGCAGTGCAGGGGGGCATAAATCAGACGACTCAGGCGTCTCTGTTTAAGGTTTCAGACTCAGTCCAGGAGTTTTTCAGGCGCCTCAACTGGTCTTTATCCTCTGCAGGTCTTTATCCCCACTTAAAGGATCATTCCTGTTTATGTAATTAATTCTGTCTGTAATAACGACATTCAGTCCAGTGGGGCAAGAAACACGACCAGTCAGAGGTTAGCCAAACTTATTTGGAGAAAACAAAGGTAAACAATATTTGTATTATTGATTAACCCAACCGTGATCCTTTAGATTAATCAATGAACTGTTTAGTGTGTAAAATGTCAGAATTTAGTTAAAAATGCCACTCACAATCTCCTTAAACCTAAGCCTAATTACTGTTAAATCACTTATTTCAATAATCCCCAAAGGGACTCTCTTTACTGTCACTTCAGACAAAGTAAGGCAGCAGTTGCTCTCAGTTTAGAAGCTGGAACTGGGAAATGTTTGGGATTTTTACTAGAAACATTTCATTGATTATTAAAATGGTTGCTGGTGCTGTTTTGTGGCTGCACCAATCGAGCGTTCATCTAATTGTTGCTGATTTAGCTTCAGTTATAACTCAAACTGTCGGTTGTTGTACGTCCTTGTAGCTGTGTGTTCCTACCGTTTTTGTGCAGTGAGGCATCAGGAGTGCTGCAACGATTGGTTGTTTTTATCAATTAATCTGCAGATAATTAATCAGGAAAAAAGGTGAAAATGATGGAACAGAGAGATCAATGCACTGCACTTAAAAAGACAAGCAGTAGCTATGTGTTTCTCCTTAGTTGCTGTGTGTTGAGCTCTCTGAGCCACCGTAAAAAAAAAAATCTAAATTTCCTAAAGGCCAAAATGACTCATTCATGTCTTGTTTTGTCGGAGCAGCCATTCGAGATACAGAGAGGGGGGAAAAGCAGCAAATTCTCATCATTTAGACGCTGGAACTGAAATGTTTGGGATTTTTATTTGAAATAGTTCCTCATTTAATATTCTGTTTCAACTCTAATTATCAGCGTTTTGGGTGCACTCACTTTCAGGAAAAGGTATTTTACGAGAAAATAGCAATCAGATCTTTTCTGCGACCTCAGCTTAGAAACCACTGGTTCCCATAAAGTGTTAATTAAAGTAGTAATGTTCCCAGACCTCCATAATTAATCTGATGATGGGCAAAACCATAAAATTGAGACCCAAGATCTAATAAAGTTGTAATGAAACGATCCTTTTGAGGTGGTACCTTGTAGATCAGATCAGAGCTATGCAGTTCTCTAGTTTTAACATCCAATGATAAGAGCAGAAACAGATGGGTAATGAGTCAGATGCAGGAAGGGGCACAGTGGTGCTTTCCATCGTTTCCTGACCGTCCTGCTGGCACGATGCCCTGCATATGGTCCCAGAAGGCGGTGGGAAGACGGCGTGCCCACACACTGAGCTCGTCCTCTAATAACCACCAACACCACACTCCCTCCTCCACGCAACTGTTGCTCATATCTATGTGTGCTGCCACTAACAAGCTGGCACCACCTAACCACATCCGATTCACGACACACACACTGTCCATCACTGTTCCTGACACACACCTTGCAAGCGCCACCCACACAGAACCAGAGAGGCGTTCTTATCTCGCTGTATCTGTTCAAACTGACCCTCGGTTTTTCTCACTGCCGCTTCGGGCGAAACTGACTTCTGCTCCAGAGCTGACACAGATGCACTGCTGAATGCAGAGGCTTACCAAGTGCTGGACAGAAACTTGGATGTGTTGGTTTGTGGCTTTGCAGGAGGTTAGAGCTGCACGATCCGTCTTCTCCCCGCTCTGCCTATGCACACTTCATCGCGTGGTGTACTGCAGTCTTTTTATTTGATTGTAATTTACAGAGAAATTAGGAACGCTTGGTTTGATGCATCTCCCTACTAATGCAAATACGGCAGAATTGTAAAGACAGTTAGTTACTTAAATTGGTCAAAATCACAAATCCCCCTCAAACAGCTTTACAATTCGAACATACAACATCCTCTCTATCTCCTTAAGGAGGGTGGAGGAAGAAAAAGGAGGAACATCAAGATGTAGAAATACGACTGTATGGCGGTATTAATTGAAATCTGGATTTCATAACGTTTAATTGTGCAGCTCTACTGGCATGTGGAGCCACACAAGTGTTTGCTGAAGTGCTCATGGCTGGATGAGTGGTGGTATGAGCGGAAAACGGTGCTCAGTGAAAATAATGATGAGACTAACACATTTATGAGGATAGCAGATGTTTGCTCTTTTTTCTATTCCCCCCCTCTCTCGTTCTGTCTTGTCCTCTCCCCCTCCCCCCCATTTGGTTTCATGTCTCACCATCCTGTCGTGTCGTTCTGCTCCGGCTTATAATCATGTTTCCTAGTAGTCTGCAAATTCTCATTTGAATGGAACACTCAGGAGTCGGCAAACATAAACGTTCTCGCATGCAAATGCTCAAACAGAAATATTAGCAGCCTGGCAAATACACCCTCAAAGCCTTTTCCCTACACACACATTTAATCTCAAGCACACACTCATACAAACCGTTCACTCCCACACACACACACATCCAAACACTATTTTGACTGTATGTCTCTCTCCTCTCTGGCAGACACGCCCTGCAGCTGAACGTGATCGCCACACAGCAGCTCGTCAGCCTGGCCAAGCAGATGCACCACCTCGAGGCCTTCATTCACATCTCCACCGCCTATGCAAACTGCAACCGCAAACACATCGACGAGGTCATCTACCCACCACCCGTCGAGCCCAAGAAACTCATCGAATCTCTTGAGTAAGTGGACGAAGGGCTGGTTTTTGTGCCCCAAAGATGTGAAATTGTTCATAATATTCCTTACGATATAATTAAAACTATAAAAACTGAACTCAAATCAAACACAATAATATAATTATGATATATTATATATTCTAATATACTAATAGTTTGTAAGACATGTTGTCTGCCACACCTGAAAAGCCAAGTTGTGTCCCCAGTTTTGGTTTTGTTGGGGACTATTTTTTAGCAGCGGATTAATCCACATGTGGTGATCTAGTGAGTATTGGAGACAAATAAACTACAACTTTGTGTTCGTGGTAATAAAGGAACATGTCAGGTGACATGTCAGAGGAATAAGATGTATCAGCATTTGGATACACACACAATACTTGTTACCAGAAATATTCATCTCAAAAGTATCGTAGTAGAGCAAAAACTACAATATTCCCCTCTCTAATGTGGTGAAATAGGAGTATAAAGTAGTGGGAAATTATTTGTTTCAGTACAGATACTAAAACAGTATTTTGTTCTTTTCAGGAATATAAACATGTAATATAAACAGTTCACATCAGTAATTAATGTTTGCTATAAAAGAATTCTACCTCCTAAGGTCAGGAAATGTCTAACAGAACACCAAAACAAGACCAAAAGAAGAATCAGAGCAGGCTTTCGATTACAACCTTTGATACTTCAGGACTGAATGACACATTTGCATCAGTCAGACCTCCAGTTCTAGCCTGGTTCCAAATCACTCAACTACAGCTCACATCTTTTTATTTGTTCAGTGACTCAAACAGAATTAATAGAAAAAAACTGAAGACAAATTGAATAGCAGTTCAGTCTCGTTATCAGTCCCAACCCAGTCCTGAAATTCAGAGAATAATGGTGCATGAATGGGCTACAGAATATAAAATATTGCTTTTACATGTAGCACACAGGAAGCAAGATGTCCTGCTGTGTGTTGAATACCACTAGTGACAGTTTAATTAAAATTGTGGTGATATAGGGAGAGGAAGTTTATCAGCGCTTTTGAAAAGAGCTTTTTACTGCTTTACAACTCATGTCTTAAAAGTGAGTCATTTTTTTGTAACATTAACATTTATTTATCATTTATATTGCCATTTATTGGAATAAATCAATAGGCAGAACAAAAACAGTAGCTAGTATCTTGCTATTTCCGTCAATGCTGATCCACTTGGTATAGAATTTGCATACGGTATTATACCCCTTGTGCAATAGTTGTTCAGTGTTAAAATAAAAGCCCCATAGAGTAACTGCATCTTAACAGGAAGCTCAGGATGACCCTTGCTTTTCAAAATAAAGCCCCCGTTGGCTTGTTAACAGGATGCAAGGGATGCACCTATTTTCTCAAAATAAAATCTCCAGAAAGTATATGCATCTTAACTGGAAACAGAGGCTGTTCTTTCATAATGTCCCTTAGAGTAACTCTCTTAACAGGAAGCTCTGGGTATACTTAGTTTTTCAAAACAAATTCCCAAACCGTGACTGTATTCTCTTTCTCTTGGGATACACACCCAAGTATTCAGGCACACTTTACTAGTCGATGATGATAATACACAAATGTGTCAAAGATCAACATGGAATACAAGAATAATAATTACCACAGTGTCATCCACGCTGTGTTTCTCTGACTAAGCCCTTCATTTCTGTCTTCAGGTGGATGGACGATGGCATTGTGCGCGACATTACGCCGCGGCTCATCGGCGACCGGCCCAACACATACACCTACACCAAAGCCCTTGCTGAGTTCGTGGTGCAACAGGAGCAGGACAAGCTCAACATCGCCATCATCAGACCCTCCATAGTGGGAGCCAGCTGGCAGGAGCCGTTCCCTGTGAGTCCACTTTTCTCTCAGAGTTAAACTACTTTTACATATTATACCGCCTGCTGTTGTGTGTTGTTACTGCTGGCTGCGGTAAATGTTAATCAAATCTTTGAATTGTACTTTTTCTTGATCCTGTGCTCATTATGCGTCCACCTGTGACGGTAAAACGAATGGAAATCAGATATTGATCGATGTAATCCTGCACAGGTCAGTGCCGCTCCCCTGTGGGTTTCATCTTAAGTGTTGCAGGGATTAAAGCAAATTGGTTAATATGTTGGCTGAAGACCTGAGCCATTCAACCAAGTCGTCAAACAGCTGCTTAGGATGGAAGAGTTTTTTTTTAGGGTGGTGAAGAAATGGGACACCGAGAGCGGAGATGCACTGACAGACTGAATGTCACATTGAGGGTGGGAAGTTGAAGAGTGCAGAGAAGTTCATGTAAAGGCTGCACTAAGTTCAACAGAAGACTCAAACTCTGAAATATTTCCATGATTTAAGCTGCTTTCAGTCAAGATGCTGCAGACATCCTGACATCTACACTGTGCACTGACTGCAATAAGTAACGAAATAAAACCAACCACTATATCACATTTAGTCTTTTATATAAAGTAGCATTTTCATGATCTTCAGTTAAGAGTAATTTGTGTCTGGTATCACCAGTTAAAGGCCCAGTCTGTAATTTTTCCACTCTAATTATATGTGAACAAACCTGTAATTGATAAAGAGTTAACTGGCAGACTGAAAAACAAGCATCTAGTGTGTTTCTCAACTGAACATAGTCGCTTTCTGCCTCTGGGAAGTTGTCAAATATGACATGAATCAGTTATTCTGAAAAACAATAGATAAATCAATAATTGTATGTGGCAACCATACTTCCAGTCCTCCTGGAAGATGTTTTTTTTAATCTTGATAGTTGATTCTGTCTTAAGGTCAAATAATATCGAGCCTTTTTACTGTTGTATGCAGTTAGTCGAGAGCTACTCCCCATAGATTCCTGAGCTCGAACCTTCCTGTTAAATAATCAAAGGTACGCGGAGAGATTTGAGAAATGATGCTGCATAGATAAAGTACCAGGAAAAACACAGGGAAGTCCTTGTTTATCTGACGGCAGGATATGTAGGCCTCGTGTGTGCGCGCAGGGACTCTGACGGCAGTTTCTGGCTCTGCGCTCAGCCTTCAGTTGTAAGCTCGGCCTGGCAGCGACTCTTCAAAGGGCCTCGCTCACGCTTGGCCAAGCAATCGCCTTGGCAGCTCGTGCCAGTAGGCGCTGTGAGGCAAGGGGGGTGGGGAGGATGGGACTGCCTGTTTTTATATGTTTGTCTTTATGTGTGGTGTGTTTACAACCACAATGTGTATCTAGTTTTGGCATTTTGTGACTCCATATATTCCTTACATGTATATAATGCAAAATTTAAAACTCTATCTGCCACCTAAGCCTGGCATGAAGCCACCAACAGGATTGTGGTGCTAAGAAACACCTCTGGCACCAGAGCTTATTATTAGAGTCAGGAAAAGACCGCATAATGGGTCTTCAGTACCACACGTTGGGAACTGCAGCAGTCTATAACCAGTGGTTTCATCTATTTTTAATGGGCTCTAATTGAAGTCGACAATCACTGCTACCCGGCCTCCTCTGTTCTCCCACCACAGGAAGCAACGTAACCCTGAAGAGATGATTCAGCACACACGTGTTGTTTGGATCTAATAACTAAATGTCGTATCTGTCTTATGAAAGCTGTCACGTCTCTAAGGATGCTCTCTCTTTCTTACGCCTCAGGGTTGGATCGACAACTTCAACGGACCAAGTGGAGTCTTTATAGCAGTGAGTAAATGTCCCTCTTCCACCATCTCAAAGCTTTTTAAGTGCTCAGAAAAGGTTCGGAGTCCTAAGACCTAAGTGTTTTTCCGCGTTCAGGCTGGAAAGGGGATCTTGCGCACCATGAGGGCCAACAACGATGCAGTGGCTGATTTGATCCCAGTAGACATGGTTATCAACCTCACCCTTGCTGCTGGCTGGTACACAGCTGTACACAGGTCAGTGCCAGACCGAGGCGTTTGTTCTCGAAACTGTAAACCTGGGTCAGCTTAAAGGATATGTTCACAATTTTATTTGATTTTTTTATTGAAAACTATACATTATGGCAGGGGTTCTTTTTAAAACGTAATTCTAGGGCTGCACCATATGGTGTAAAATATCATATTACGATTATTTTGACAGATAAGGATTATTTTTCCATCTGAGTATTGCACATGGCCATATTGCCATTTTGATAATATCTTGATTAATTGTGCAGCCCTACAAAATTCCCTGTTTGTGTTTCTGTTAGTGTTTCCTTGTTGAGCTACAGTAGAGGGTTCTGTTGTAAAAAGACTGAATTTGGAAGACCCATTTGAGTGGTTCAGGTCAGACTGTTCAACCTCATTAATTTCATAAAGGTCTGTATTTTGTCACTTACACTGGAAACTCATTATAAAGAGATCTTTTAATGGTCTGTATGAACCGGACAAATGAGTACAGCTAACCAAACCTGTTGGTCTTCATGTGGGCATCTGACTATTGTTTTAAGACAAACTTGAAAAATTGTGAACCTATCCTTTTTTAAAATAATTATTTTGTTTTTCAGACAAAACACTCACATGTCTATCTCAAAGACGTAGAAACTTAAGCTAATGATAACTATATATGTGTAGATTTGTATTGCATAAACATGTTTATATAGATAAACCTTAATTTGACAATTGTCTATCAAGACTAAAACAGACAATTCTATTTTAACAAAGTCATGGAAATGTATCTGCACAATAAATGTAGATACATTTGTGTTGACTGTGGTGTGTGTGTATACTGTATATGCTGCCATCTTAATAGACTTAAAACTGATGATAATAAGAGAGATGCATGAAGTTGATTTATAATACTGTGGGGCTTCAGACCAGAGTAAAACAACCACAGATAAATAGATCAAAATATTAGTTTTCTTGGTAGAAGAATAGAAAATGTCTTGACCCTGTTTTAAGGACATAAATATGGCACCACCATCCTCTAACATGCATGCAATTGGAAGTCCATTAAAGCTTAACATCTGTCCTTATTATTTAAAAGTCTGAACTGATAAAAGAAAGTGAGTGAAAAGTCATACAAAAATACTAGCTATTTGTGCTGTCTGATTTTTTTATTTTATTTATTTATTTACAGATAAAAGCAATGTGGGGGTAAAACACATCTTTTGTTTATTGGACTTTGGGAAAGAGAACCTATTATGGCAGTAAAAGATGCTACGAGTCATTCAGGCAGGGGAAAAAGTTCCTCAGTCATGACAGAAGTTTTCCTTAGAAACGTCTTACTCAGTTTGCCGAGGGTCAGACTTTTCATGCTGGAGAGAATGTGCCGGAAAATCTGAGCTGACCACTCCCACATTATGTAAGATAACAGATCCAATAAACCTGAAAGCTTTGGGTTTGAGACCTAAATTACATCCAAACATATTTCATAAGGGGGGGTGGGGTAGATCATATCTCACAAATGTAGTAATGCATCAACATTGCCAACTGTTATGTGATTATACCAGTGTTTATGTACCTGACAACCTGTACTTATTTTCAGAAGGAAAACAGAAAAACAGAAAAATATAAGTTAAGTATTGACTCCCGCATTGGAAAATATGTTAAATTTAAGAGGTTAATTTAGTTTCTCAGCCTATATGTATATCCAGTGTCTTGTCAGAAGTCTTTTTTTTTTAAAGGCCTGCATGTGTTGTGTAGTAAAATATACCTGTTTTTTTTAAAATAGGTTTGTGATCATAGCACCGTAGCTTCATAGCTTAAACAGTCTCGTACAGTGCAGTGTTACCAGGAAATGTAGACTAGTACGTATTTTTATCAGCATGATTATGACCTTCTTCTCCCTCACTCTGCAGACCTAAATCAGCTGTGGTGTACAACTGCACGACCGGAGGCATCAACCCGTTCCACTGGGGAGAGATTGGTAGGTACATTGTTTGTTGTCTTGCTTAAAGGTAATAGAAACCTGTCACTGCAGGCGGATATTTATAGAGCTGTTTTTGTCTGCGCCTGCTGGCATCCCACAATATTGTTGTCCCGCTTCACGTTCATCATCACAAATCAATACTCCTGTGTTGTGACATAACGTCCCTGTGATGTAGTTAAGTCGTGTTGTTTGTGGTCAGGGGCTCTTGTGGAGAGTGTCTGCCACCTGCTGGAGAGAGACAGAAGATGGATTTAGATTGATGTGGAGGGGATTAGTGAGGATACTGGAGACATTTTCCTTTTTTTTTTATTATACTAAAGTTCTGGATATATTAGCTAGGACAAAACAGGTTTTCAATTTAAAATGATGGGCTCAATAGACCCTTTTCACTGCAGCCATTTTGACATGAAATATAGGGGAAACACAGGTGTTTTACAATGATGATGATTCTAATTAAGGTTTCATCCCATTTAAGTGTAGCAGAGCCTTTCCAGTGAGCCAACATGCACAATGACTCTGTTTGTCCTGAATGGAACAGAACCTTAATTAGTGTCATTGTTTACCCTATTGTTTAATGTTTAAATTGCTGCTGTGAAAACGTGAAAACTTGTTTTGATGGCCAAATATATCTAGTTATTCTTAAGTCAAGCCACTGGGTCGTATTCCTCCTGTAATCAATGAAAGGAAGTGCTTGAAACTCTACCAATTATGACCACAGGGGGCGCCAGAATCACCAAAAAAGGAAAGTTACTGCTTTAAGGTATCTCAACAATTATTGGATGGATTAACCAAGATGGTACCAGGAGGATTAATCCTACTGACTCTTGTGATCCATGAACCTTTCTCATGAGGCTGACTGTAGTTTTTAAGTGAAACATTTCAACAACAAATCTAATAGATCGCCGTGAAACATAGTACAGTAAAGCGCTGTAATCGGGTCCAAATTTAACTGACCAGTACTTTAGTTTTGAAGGTTCTCGTCAGCAAACCTTGCCAAACGTTAGTACACTAACATGCTAAAATAAGTCGGTTGAGCAAATATCAGGATGTTAACATTGTCGTGGTTGGCGTGTTAGCGTTTAGCTCAAAGCACCACTGTGTGCAAGTACAGACTCTCAGAGCTATCCATGCAGACACATGTTGTCAAGGCACTGATGGGGACATTGCAAATGAGAGGAAATGTTACTTTATCACTTACAATTATTTTTAAATTTAAACCAATTTATAAGAAGTACAAAGATTGTTGATGAACACTGAGCCCTGTTCTTAAAACAATAAAAAAAAAAAAAAAAAAGGGGATTTTGGCCTTTTTTATGCAGATTTATGACGTATTTAGAGTGCATTTGATATGAATCTGTGCTCAGAGCCTGTATGGTTTTTGATAACTTCTTATTTTGAGGGCACAGTAGCGGCGATGATACTGCACATGAAGAGTGAAAACGCTCATTGTTTCCATCCCAGCGGTCATCAGATACAGTGGGATTAGAGGGCTGTGGATGTCAGGCTGGCGGGATGACAAGAGTCTCTCTCTCTCTCTCTCTCTCTCTCTCTCTCTCTCTCTCTCTCTCTCTCTCGTTTCCTCTCAGATTAGCAAACATGCTCCCTTCACTGAGGAAATTGCTACCAGATGGCTCGTTGCAGGATTAGGTCTCATCACTGCAACTCGCTGTTATGAAAGGGGAACCATGTATTCTAATCTTACTGGCCCGAATGACAATTAGGAATGAAGCTAATCTATATCACTGGGTTTTATAAGAGACCAAAAAACAATAGTTGATGATGGAAAATATGAAGAATTTAAAAATACAACTAAAAGAGGAGGGAGGACCTTGTCTCTAGTACAGAGTAGTACTAGACCTCAAAGGGCAGCTCAAGGTTAGCAGCAATACTCACAACCAGGCTGCAAGGGGGCCGGGCCACAGCTGGCTGTCACCTCGGATCTGGTCATCTCGGCCCCTGCAACCACCACATATCTGTTGCCATGGAAACAAACGGTGCAAGGCCTAGTTTGCGTGCTGTGTGTGTGATGTAATGTCTGTGGTCACATGGCTGTGCTCTGTGTCTGTCGATGGCTGCTGCTGGAGAGGAGGAGGAGGGGCTGGCTGTGCTGGCCAGTGGGAGAAGTCATTGTATGGCTCCTCTTTTCTGCCTGATATTTACCCCCCCCCGAGAACCAAAGCTGAGCGTGTTCTGATTTAAGACCAGGATTGGGTTCCTGGAAGTCATGATCCTTGTATAGAAACTAGAATCTGTGTGTTTACCCAGTTCATTGTTCCTGGTCAGGGGATGTTAATAATCTTGGATGTTTGAAATTGCTTTAAAGAATCTTTTTTTTTTAGAGCAAGGCTAACCCAGGTTTATGCCTCTCATATGTTATCATTGCATTTAAGCTATGTATGAGTGAGCTTTACAAAATCTAGAAGGTTTAACACTTACTGCTGTTCTTAAGTTGTTTCCAAAGTCCTCAAGACTCTTCTAACCTGGGTAAAAAAAATATTCTATACACTGCACAATAAACCAAGTTGAAACTCTTTTTTTTTTCTCCTGTGAAACAAATGTACAATGGTTTAATTTAGTTATTTTAATAGTTATACATACATACATACATACATACATACATACATACATACATACATACATACATACATACATACATACATACATACATACATACATACATACATACATACATACATATGAGGCACAAACTGGGGCTGGACAGGTGGGAAGTACAAATACTTCACTACTCTACTAAGTTCAGGTATCTGTACATTATATCTCTTACTTTCAGGCTTGTAACTTTAGTTGTAATGAATTTGAGGGGAATTGTTTTTTGCATCATTGCTTTTCAGCTTCAGGACCGTCGCATACCATGCATAACAGATGTAATGCGACAAAAACAGCATAAGAGATGAAACAAACGAGGGGGAGACTCGGCCCTATTTGAAGTTTTAGTTAGCTGTGCACAGAAACAGCCGGTAGAAACGTCCACCACCTCTGGGGCTAAAGCAAGGCTAGCATTTAGCACTTATTATGAGCCATTATCTCAGAGATGAATGCTGTGTTTTGTTATCTAATTAACCCCCTTTACCCATACACCTTTTGCAGAGCATCATGTGATGTCGTCCTTCAAGAGAAACCCACTGGAGCAGGCTTTCCGCAGACCCAACGCCAACATCACCTCCAACTACCTGATCAACCAGTACTGGATCCTGGTCAGCCACAAGTTCCCTGCCCTCATCTACGACCTCTTCCTGCGACTCTCTGGACAAAAGCCGCAGTAAGACTCTCACTTATCTGTCTTGTACTTGAAAATTAAAGAAGTTCAAGTGTGTGGTAACCTCTGACCCCCCCTCGCTTTAGGATGATGCGTATCTTCAACCGTCTGCACAAGGCCATCAGCCTGCTGGAGTATTTCAGCAGTCAGGACTGGGAGTGGAACTCTGAGAACATGAACATGCTGATGAGCCAGCTAACCCCAGAGGACAGGAAGGTAACTGTACATGCTGGCAGTTTGGGGCCAAATATTTTAACTATTGACCCATCACGTAAGACAGTCTGAACAAGCATATTTGCTCATAAGTCTCATCTGAATGGTCGTTATAAATCTCTTCTAATCCACCTGAAGCTCTGTGTAAATTACAACAAACTCAAAGGACTACAGTGGTAGATTATTACCAAGTACAGTTACTTTATTTTTGTACCATTTTGAGCCACTTTATACTTGTATTTAACTTCATTTCAGATGGAAATATTGTATATATTCTATTTTCTACTACATTTACATGACTGCTATAGTTACCAGTCCCTTGCAGATTAAGGTTTTTCATAAAAACCACATGATCCGTGTAAAATATGATTAATTGCTATAGATTAAACTACCCAGTCGTATACAAAGTACACACTGATGCAGCTGTGTGTTCACTGCTTGTAGCTTCAGTAATAGTACAATAGTAAATCTAGTAATATAACATTCTGTTAAGCAGCTTTCTCCACATTAAGTACTTTTAAGCGCATTTTACTAAGAGAACTTGCAGTTTAGGAAATATTCCCTCTGCTCACTTGAGGCATACTTAATAGTGTTAGGGAGTCTATTGCTCCATCTAGTGAGTGAGAGTGGAATTTCATATTCATTTTTTCAATTAACATTCAACAGCCTTGTGTTTTGTCTCAACACTCTCCTAACAATCTCTTCTATCTTGCAGACATTCAACTTTGATGTGCGCCAGCTGAACTGGCCTGAGTACATCGAGAATTACTGCATTGGCACCAAGAAGTACGTCCTGAATGAAGACATGTCTGACATTCCTGCTGCCAGGCAGCATCTGAGGAAGTAAGTCTATTTACTTAAGAGGCTAAACAGTTTGCATAAAAGTCAACATTTGCATTTTAACTTGTAATAGAATAAAACACTAGGGAAATAAGTTTTTTTTTTTTTTTTCTTGATCACAAAGCTACCATCTGCTGGTGGTGGTGACACTGCATATAAAATAAAAATATGATAAATTATAGCATTGCCCTAAATTATTATCAAACTTACCCATATGATAAGATAAAGGTGTATTCAGGATTCATAACACAACTACATTTTCTGGAAAAAATGCTAATACACTAGAATGTTTAATGTTTTTATCATTATGTCTGTGTTTATAAAAACTCTTTCTTCTCCTTTTCCTCTTTCCCAGACTGAGGAACATCCGCTACACCTTCAACACCCTGTTGGTCGTTTTCATCTGGAGGGTGTTTATCGCCCGCTCGCAGATGGCCAGAAACATCTGGTACTTTGTGGTCAGCCTCTGTTTCAAGTTCCTCTCCTACTTCCGAGCATCCAGCACCATAACCAACTGAATCTTTCTCACCACCTCAAGCCAGAGACGGCAGCACTCATCCTTAGCTGTCAGCAGGACGTAACATCTGAGACTCTGGCCATCCACAAAGGACACTTTAAATCCTCCTTTGAGTGTGGATTAGCAAGGGGCTCTCTACAGGTGGGGGCTGCAGTTGAGTGAAGCACTCAGAAGGGAAAAAAAAGAGGTCTACTAGCCATGAATTTTTTGTTTAGTTTGGAAATCATCAGTACCTGCACTGTTCAGTCACCAGATCCCGTCCAAAAGTGTCGTCATTCATTTTGTACCTACCTTTTTCTTCTCAAAGTGGCCAATTATATATGCAACAATAAGCCTTTTGTGACTTCCATTTTCTTCTCCACATCATTGTTCCCATCCTCTTAAATCTAGGTACATTGCCTTGCCTTGTGATAATTTTTTTTCATACTTGAAATATGGCAGTGCTTCAGTGGAGGACGATTTCTATAAGATTATTTTGGTTCTCTGTTTTTTACTGTGGGGATATCCTATTCCTCCTTTAATATGCAGGTGATTCAGATATCTGTATGTCTTGCATTACGTGTATCTACTGCCTTTTTAAGATTACATCCAAACACTAAGCGGTGGTTATTTGTCTCGAAGATTTTTGAGACTAGTATTAAAGCTAAATTCTGACCACACAAGACAACAGTATCCCAAAACATACAGATCTGCCATCTTCCCTGCTGTTGAGTTTGTCACTTATTTACTATCACATATGATAATGTCAGTATGTCTTTGAACATAAACCTTGTTTGTTTGAATGCTCATCCACTTTTTGCCTGTTTGTACAGCAGTTTGTACTGAAACTAAGTTTACTACTTTTACATCTTTATACTTGCGTCAAAAGCTAGTCTGATGGTAGACCTTGGCAGTGTATTATATATAAATGAGAGTACATCAGAGTCAAGTTTCTTTGTATTGTCCAGTATCACATACTGTACAATGTCTCCCAACTGTTACCAACCAAGCCCAAGTTTTCTTGGGACCAAATACAACAAGGGGATTCTTAAAGGTCAAATGTTAATATAGTAAATCCAAAATCAAAAAGTCCAAGGAATGGGTCCAGTTGAATATGTCCAATATCAATGATTCACATACTTCCATGTCCAAGATTGTTGGTATGTGAGGTTGGAGGACCAAGTAAAGATGGAGGAGACCTAGTCCCAGTTTGTGCCTCATGTATAAGCGTTACATTTGAGACACTGTGGTAACCATCCGTTTCTTTGTAAAATAATTACCCGCAGATGTGTTTAAAAAAAAAAAAAAAAAAAAAAAACCTAGGAGGTAAGACTCTAACCATCTGGATGAAAGATTTATTTTAGTCCTTGAGGCAGGCCTCTGGATACTGAAGAAGTCATGATGTTTGTTATGGCTGACAAAGATCATATATTTATATGTTAGGGGAGACAATAAAAACCGTTCCTGGTGTGAATAAGGAAGCCAATGCAGGGAGGCTACAATTGGTTGATTTGAGTGCTCATTGCATTGTATTGAATTGAAAGCTGGGATTTTTCCAATTAAACCAGGAAAAAGAGCATTTCAGCTTAATTTCTGTATAAGAAAAAAAACATCTTTTTGAAACCGCTTTTGACAGCCAGTAAACTGCACAGAGCACAGTGCAATCACTACACTTAATTTTAATATAGAGTTGAGTGTCATCTGCATAAGAGCAAAACTTCACGCTACAGCTGCAAAGGATTCCTCGGAACTGAAGAATATTGTGAAAAGTAGTGGACCAAGTACGGAGCCCTGAGGGTCACCATACCTTACCTGATGGAGAGATGGACTACTATTTTTAAGCAAGACAAACTGATCTTTAAATTAGTATTACTGGACCTAAATCACAAAAGTGCAAGGTTATAGACGAAAGACTTGAGGCCCTCCCGGTATTACATCCTTGACTCCAGTTTGGAAGATCTGTAAATAGTTGAACTACATATTATTCTTATAGATTACCAAAAATTGTATTTGACTGTTGATTTATGCTTGGTGGGTGTCTTCACAGGATTCCACCACAGAGCTTCCCACAGAGTCTACCAAAAGTGTTAAGTGTGACAGGCAAGTCTGATTTTTACTAAACAAACAAGAAAACTGTGTACAGTATTGTATGTGTTGCAAGGCTTGACTCAATACAAATACATAACAGATATGAGCCTTTATGGGAGAAAAGGGACAAAACTAAATAAATGTTTATGCAAAGCCCTGCCCCTGTCTGTGGTGTAGTCATGGGATTGATTTCAGAGTGAACCGAAATGTCTGCAGTTGTACGAGGTCTGTATGATGAAGTGGTTTCGTCAGAATTTGTTCTTACAGAGCCACAGGGTTTTTATACTGGTGTTGTTCTGGAGTTTTGCTCTTCTGTGTCTGTTCTGACCAAATTTGCAAATTAAACGCGGAGCACTGTTGGTTCAGGAAACCCCAGGGTGGAACTTGTGTTACTGTATATAACAAACAAACAGCAACACGTGACCAATGACTTCATCTTATACTTTCTGCTGTCATTTTCAAAATGTTTGACCATCTTCATTACCTGCTCTGACAACACTTCATTCAAGTCTGCTTTGGCAAAATTAAAATAAAGTTGAAGAGAAAAAGTGCAAGTGTGCCGCAGTCCATTAAACTTTTTTCCAATGACGTGCAAATAGAAGATGTATTCTGATTTTACACATCAAGGTCAGTTTACTTGTCATGGCCATTTTGTTTATTTTTTGTTTCTTCTTCTACTTTCCAAAGTGTGAGCAAAATGCCCCAGTTATTGCAGCTTGGATTCAAAGGCTACCAATTAATAGCAGAAAGTGTCCGCATTATAAAGTGAGTGCATGTAGTTTGAAAGTCACAGGTATTTACCATAGGCACTAACAAAAGATGCTATCTAGCTGCATTATGGGAAATGTAGGATCCAGGGTTTTTGGAGCTTGATTCCTATACTAGAGACTAAAAGTCATATTTAATCTGTCCCCCAATACGAGTACACTAAATCACTGGAGTACCTTTTAAGCTTTTGTGCAGTTACATGGGTTTTAGGGATATTTTTTAACTGTAGAAGAGCTCTAATTTAAGTTATCCTTTTATTATCCTTTTGTTAGTCCTTTTATTCTCTCGAGGTGTCTCCAGGCTTCAAATTAGCTAATTTTCTTTAAATCTCAGGCTATTCACAGTCTTTATAAGCTTGTTAATTTTTCAATACGCTCACTTGCTGCACCTAAAATACTAGTTATTAGAAATAGTCCACCCTTAAACTCTGGAATTTTTAAGTCTTAAAATATGGATTTACACTAAAGGCCAAAAGATGATAATTTACATTTTTCTAACCGCATCCAATGAAGTGGTTCACATTTCAGCAATCCAAGTATTTTTAAACCATCCATTCTTGGGACTTTACTGAAGATTTAAACATTTTCCACACATTAATGCTATGAAATAACTGCACTGGTATTAATTTATGGATATTTTATCTTTAATGGATTTGTGCTATTACAACAAATGTAACAGAAAGCTTACGTTTCTAAAGAAACAAACTCCATCACAAGGAAATAATGTTTAAAAACACATGTATGACTGCAGTCACAGGGCACACATTTTCCTAAAGTGCAATGATTTGATGTGAACTTCACTATTTTCAAGTTAACAGGACTGTCAGACAGACAGCTTAATCCCTTTTCAGTAGAAAAACAATTCAAGACATATGGGAATGTTGACAATTAAAAAAACAAACTGAACAATATTAAATAACAGGAAATCCTCTGACGATTACGCCTTCTCTCCTTCTGTAACTCATACAATTTGTCATCTCCTCACCATTAAACAATGCAAAAGGCAGACTCAGCACTTTAACAATGGCCAAAAGCCTGGTCACTGAAAAACAGCTATTCCTGAGGGACATTGTCAGCCGTCTGGTGATTGTTTAGATTGTTCATCTGGTTGTGTAGCTGTGCACCCTAGAACAGATTTAGCACAAGGAGTTTATTAGATATATTTCCCAGTGAAGTCTCCAGTGATTTTTAATACAGACAGAGAAAAAAGACACATTAGAAACCTGTGTTTAGAATAAGGTAAGACTCACCTCTCTGGGCCGATAGACTCCAAGTTTGAAGCGACAGCAGATGACATCAAAAAAGAAGCCAACGAGCCCATGAAGCATGCCTTTAAAGAGAGAGCAGCACACAGTGATAAATCCATGAATTCAAACACAAATTATATTTTACATTTTAAGTCAAACCTAGATGGAATTACTTCCAATAAATCCTTTAAAGCAGTGTATTTATTAGCTTTACTTTGAAATTAAAAGCACAGAAATCAGGGCTGCGAATCAACTTCAGCTTAACGTCCCATATACATTATATCAACATATGTTTGGGTCATTCTGTGTCAAATCATATGGAGGTTTTTGTTTACATTACTACTTGAATACCTTATGTATATGCTATTTGACACCAAAAATAAATTCTGTTTAATATGTTCAGTAAATTTTGATAGCAAAGTTTGTTGCCCCTGGGAATTTTGTTATTTTCACCCTAAAAAATGCCAAATTTCATGGCTCTAAGAGTTCAATTACTGAAGATATTGAACCCTACAAAGTTTAAGAGTGCAAAAATTAAGTGATTAAATTCAGAAAAAATATTCAACATTTAACAATTAGGTGTCAAAAAGCATATACATAAAGCTTCTTCCGATGTGACATTGTTTATCTGTGTTGTCCCTGTTTAAAAAAACTAATAAAAAAAATAAGATTTCAGGTCAAACCAAACATACCTGTTGTGGAGAATATACCCCCGATTATGCCGCACAGTCGCACCAGGAACTGCCACGCTGGCATGTGCTGTTCACTGACCGTCACCATCAGAGAGCTGGTGTCGTACTTCACAAAGATGCCGGAAACACCGTGGCTGCCCGCTGCGTGGTTTATCACCCGCTCCTTAGAAACAGACAGCAATGGTGGTCAGTGTTGTCCCGGGTTTCTCTTAAACTCTCCCTCCTCTTGTTTCTTTTATTTTTGTTACGAGACAGCTTTGTAAAAGATGGTGTGGTATTCTTGAGATTTAAATCCTTCTTTACTCACCCGCTCAGTCACAGAAAACTGGTGTGTGTCTGCAGATATCTTGTATGTGTTCAGTCTGGTTGGAACCACTGTGATGAAGTACTGGAACATCTGGTTATCTGTAGTAAAACACAGGAATAGTATGTGAAAAATCATAATATTTTAGGTGCTTACATCAATTTCAAGAAGGAAAAACATGTCAACTACAGCTGAAGCAACTTAAAATGAAACTTAATCAACTCCACCATCATGCTATCTGTATTATTTCCTATAGTACCTTCTTAGCAGTGACCATATGAGGTGAGCTAAGGAGAATTTGGGTCAACTCACAATTCAACTAAAACTCCCAACGCGTCATTAATTCTGCAGAAAACTGTGGTAGGAAACCACTCCATCTTGTGTTTTATCCTCTCCTATCTCTTGAAAAATAGCAGTAACTTACTGTTATAGGTGATTTTCTCTGTGCCGTCCAGAGGATTGATAATGCCTGGTATCTCCTCTCCAAAAGATAAATGGTCTATTCGATGGGAGAAGTTGTACGCTGTAATGCAAAGATGAGAGGAAGCTCCGGTTCAATCAAGTCCTTGGGGAATCGCTGAACAAGCTCTAAGTGAAACGGCCTGTATATAGTGCTGTTTGAAAGATTACTAATAATGATCTTAAATGCAACATTTAATAGTATTATTGGTGTAAAAACCTGCTTTCTTATTCAGTAAATGAAATGTCCTCAGGAAGATATATGCAATGTCAGCTGAAAAATGCTCTTTTTGCTGTCTCCTCGTTTTTCAAATCAAAGCATAATCAGAAAAAGAGTTACGCACTGTCATGGCTCACGAAAGCCGCAATGTGGGCATGACCCTGAGGATGGTGAATGGGCCTGAAAAAGACAAAAGCAGCACAAAAGAACTGGCATCTTTATAGTTTTTTGTACTTACACAAATTCTACAGCTAGATTCATCATAAAGAATTTACAGCAGTCTTTAAATGGAGCTGAACAATCTTTAATTATATCTGTCAATACCTCTTGACAATACCTATAGTTTCTTACTTTCCCACAGTGATGTGCAGGTTTCCTGCCACCTTGTTGACATAGACGTGCCCATGTATCCTGCAAGCATTGAGCGGCTCCATAGAGGCATCCTCCCTACACACACACAGTTATTGAGCACATCATTTAACTCCCTAATTGTTTATCAGAATCTCTAACAGGCTAAAATTAATGAAGACCTTGTTAGTTTGCATGCATGAAACTGACCTCGGAGGCAGGGCAGTGGGTCCTCCTTTGAGAAGAGTTTTGTAAAGGACTTCCTGAAGAGAGTGTTCCTCTCTCAGCCTGCTCTGTATGAGAGTCAACGTCCTGAGGGCAAAAAAACAGGTTGGCACCAAACTGTAACTGGAATGTACTTTTGCAAGTTTCTCTGACTGCTGCAAACACCTGAGCGCTTCAAAAACAATCTCAGAGAGGAAGAGGAATGTTGTTGTACCAAACCTGTAATGACTTATTCCAGTTTTTCTACATAGTTTCAACTTCCCCCTGGCCACAAAATCACCTTAAATACACTTTTTAAGGTCTTTAAAATGATAATTACAATGTAAAATTAAACAAATTCAATAAAAACAAGACATTATGGACATTTTAAACTAAATCTAAGACATACACCAGTGTACTTAATTATACGGAAGCCTTCAAATTTGATACGATAATTTTAGACACCTTTTCTTTGTTACAGTATCTCCCTGTGTGATTTCATGAAAGCTTACCTTTGCCACAGTCTCTGTTGTGGGGTCAGTTCAAAAATAGCCTGAACAAACAAGAGAGAGAGATGCAGTTGTGAAAATCAGTAAAAAAGAAAACCAATTTTAATCTGTGTTTTGCACAAAAAATAAATTTAAAAAAACAGTTTAAGCAGAATCCAACCCAACCTGAGGTTTGGAGATGTTGCTTTACTCACAGGCTCGTACTGGAGGCCGTTGGATGTGATCATGGTCTCAGCCAGGTCCAGAATATCTGCTCCAACATCTGCGATCACAGACATAAAATGCATGTGACCGCTGCATTAACTGACACATATTTACATCTTTAATGCACTTACAGTAAGTAATTTAAGGCATGTGAATCACAAAGAAGGAGGGGGATACTCACGCTGGCATTTCATGGCGACTGTTATGTCAATGTTTATTCTCAATTTACTATGAATGATAAAAGAAGAAGGGAATAACGTGTGTTTAAGAGTAATTTCCTGGCACAAATTGTAAATGTAAGCATATAAGAAAGTGAATAAAAGTTAAAAGGAAGTCACAGAACAATTTTTTTGGGGGGGGGGAGTAAGTTTACCTGGAAAAATCCTTGTCAACTTCATAGTCATACTTCATCCAAGTGTCTCTATAAACAAAGAACTCAAGGATGGCCAGAAGTGCCATGGCGCTAAAAGCTATCAGGGACACTGTGGGTGAGACAGACAGGGAGACAGGGTGGTTACTGAACTTTCACACCAGGTGTATCGGCAAAAGACTGACATCTGTACCGTCAGACGAAGGCCCCACCTGTTCCTCCGGAGGCTG